ATAAACAAAATTCTAATGAAAGTGAGAACATGTATACTGTTACATCTTTCAGAAAATGTTTTGAAATTGTGGTGCACAGTTCAGAATAAATGTTTTTCAAAAACATTGCATCTTTTTAGTAAATGTTTATTTCCAAAAGAAATTTCTAGAAGTTCAGAACAGTAAAATTCCCGCTTTTTAGAATGAATTAGAAGATAAATCTTACGTAGTTAAACTAAAATACTCATTGAGAGTTAATATATAAACTCTTAACACTAAGTGTTAAATGATCAACTCCAGACAGATTTGGTGTTTAACACTAAATCAGAGTTAACGTACCAACTCTCCAAAAAGAGTTAAATTAACACTCTCTGGTGTGGACCCATATAGACACTTTAATAGTGTTGAATTCAAATCTGACAGTGTTAATTTGGACATGCTGGATTTGCTGTGTGGAAATCAGTGAATGGATCTCAGCATCATCGGCTACAATTCATCTGAACTTCACATCGTTTACACACTTAAAGGGAGTCACATGCAAGCTTTACATTTTCAGTTCATCAGATAACTCTAACATACTCTGGTGATTAATCCATGAATGGGGCTGCCTTACATGTGTTACTGTTTAGCCTCAACCTTCCCTAAAGCTGCTTTGTGGAACAGACAGAGTGGAGTCAGGTTGGGGAGCATCCTCCAGCTCATGGAAGCTGGACAAAAAGACCAAACTGTTGATGAAATGACTTCACCTGCGTTTGTTAACACTGCTAGTTCATCAGTTTTCCCCTTTGACTGTCTGGAGACACTGCTGACCTTTGACCTTTTGTACTTATTATTATTCTTTTGATTCCTATCATAACTATTATTATGTGCTGTTATTATGTGTCATTTTCTGTGCACACTCTGTGCTCCCTGACCGTCTTATGAGTCTTACGCTCTTACAGAAAAGGTTTTTCCGACCTGTTGTAGGATTCAGGCCATCGCTCTCCACACCTCTGGTTCTCCAGTGTATATGTAGTTACAGATCTCATCACTCTCCGACTCCTCCCTTGCTGCTGACCTCACCTTCCAGACATTGTTGGAATGAGTAGGACAGATGTGGAGTCCGGCTCGAGGTACCAAGCTGTTGGAACAACTCTTCAACAAATGGAGAAACACAAGAGATGTGACTTTAAAGCTTTTAGTGACTTCAAGTGAGCAGCAGCAGCAACCATAACTTTGTGCGAGCGCTCTCTGGGGACGGCTCAGCGAGCTTCTTTTCTACAGACAAAGAGGATTTGTGTAGCATGTTGCATATCACCCTGGGACAGATGTGTAGGAGGACTTTCTCAGGAGTTGTATCTCCTGGGAACTTGCTGTGCTTTCGGTTACATGTGATAAGAGCCACGACACACAATTCTGACTTCTCACAATATTTCATGTGTTAAACAAAGACGTTGTATCATATCTAGTACGTTTTTCTAACGCCTGCTTTAACAGTCACTGTGTTCTGGTCACATCTTCCTCATAAACGAACACAAGTGGAGGAAACTCTCTCATCTACCACACACTCTCTCATGGCACCTTCAGCTATCACAGCCATGTCCAAAACATAATAGGATACGTTCAGTGCTCCCAGTGTTAATAACAGTGTAGGAACAGATTTATCTCTAAATCTCAGTGAATTATTATTTTTATTAGTTGTTCAAATACTCTCCTCCCAAAACGTTTCAGTCTGAAAGAAACACACATGCAACAAGGACAGCTGTAAAAACAACCAGCAGATGTTTTGCTGTTCATAAAGACTCTAAACAGGTTTCTCTCTGGCTCCACCCACTGATGCAGAACTCAGCCAATGAGATGGTCTCTTCCTGCAGAACTACAGCCAGCCTGATGTTGAGGAGAAGGCTGTGCAGCAGAGAGGCTGCTTAGTCTTTTCATTCTGCTGAATTTGTTCATCTGCTGTGTGACTTCAGCACCTGAAACATGTTCCTTTACCTGTTGGTACTTTTCTCTCACTGCATAGGTGAGTGTTAGAACACAGAAAAGTCTCATTGTGACAAGATTTGATCAGAGTTATTATTAGCAGATTTCTTCATCTCATTATGCTCACAAAGGAAGAAAAAGACTGACTGACATGAATCATTCATTTGCAGCTTTGGGCTCCATGAACAGCATAAAGCAGGAACGTGCTGAAGAAGCTGTTGCAGAGCGAGGAAACATCAACCTGACCTGTACATATGATGGTTCTATCTACAATATCCAGTGGTACCGACAATACCAGAGATCCAGACCAGAGTTCCTGCTCTACATCACAGAGGGAGGATCAGTTCATCGAGCTGTGTCGGGATTCTCAGCTCACATTGACAAAACAGAGAAACGTGCAGATCTGAACATCTCCTCTGCTGCAGTGTCTGACTCTGCTGTGTACTACTGTGCTGTGAGGCCCACAGTGACAGGAAACAGCAAAACTCTGTACAAAAACCTTTGGAGCAAAGACAACAGAATACTCCACAACATCCACTAGAGGGAGCCACACACTGTTAAACCTCTGATTCTTGTGTCATTGGACTGATGACAAAGACAACAGAGAAATGAAGCAGTAAAGATCAGAGACAGAGACAGAGCTGCTGTGGAAGCACAAAACTGTTTGATTGGCTCAGCTATTACACTGGCCCCGCCCACTGAAGTTGAGCTCATCCAATGACATTATTTGTTGGTCATTGTGCTGCAGTGGAAGAACATTGTTCATGTGCTGTCTGTCTGGCTTTAATAACTCCAAAGACATGTTGCTGCACCTCTTTTTGCTTCTATCTCACATTATAGGTGAGTTTAAGAACAGGGATTAAAGTTTAGTTGAAGCTGCTGCATTAAGCAGATATACAGACTGCATTTCACTACTTTTCTTCTTTCTTTTTCCAGGACTAACAGCTGGAGACTCAATCACTCCTCAACAACCTGAAGTCACTGAAACAGAAGGAAAATCTGTCACACTCACATGTAGCTATGAGACAGATAGTGGTTACCCACTCCTGTACTGGTACAGACATGATTCTGACCTTCAAGCTCCTCAGTTTATACTCTGGAAAAGAGCAAGAGGATCCACAACTCAGTATATTCCTGATAATCGATATAAATCAGAAACATCAGATCGATCAACTGATCTGACCATAGCAGCCCTAACCCTGGCAGACACAGCTCTCTACTACTGTGCTCTAGAAACACAGTGATACAAAGTGTAGAAGAGGCTGTACAAAAACCTGAACACAGATATCTGACTACTCTTCAAAGAGGAGGGAAGTGGTATTCAAAGCACAGCTTCATATCAGATGGATTCTGCTAATTCCTGTTTTATCAGAGTCACTGTGGTTACAGCTGCTAATGAAACACTGTGGGAGGATTCACATGAGCAGCAAATCCACATCAACCACAAACCGACTGCAGGAACGTTCAGACACGAAGACATAAAAATACAAAATTATAAGTAAACAAACTTTTATTACAGCAATATAAAGGAAAAACTAAATTCACTGCATGATTTTATCTCAGGACACTAAGGCAGACACAGAGGAAACTGTTTGTCTTTTCCTGGACTACAATCCAGGATCGAACCATGTTCTCAACAATTGAATGTTGTCCTTCAGCAGTTATACAAACCCAATTCCAAAAAAGTTGGGACTTTGTGTAAAATGGAAATAAAAACAGAATGCACATCTCAGAAACACGTTTTATTCAAAATAGGACAGAAAAAACAAAATGTGGAAAAAACTACAATTATAAGAAAACTATGAACTTGTTTTGACTTTAATGCAGCGACATGTTTCACGATGGAACAACAAAGGCTGGAGAATTAAGTGGTGCTAAAGAAAACAGGTGGAGGAGCATTTTGAAAACAGTAAGGTTCATTTGTAGGGCTACAATGATTCGTCGACATAATCGATCACACGACATAGAAATTTCTTGTCACATCTTAAAACCACATAAATGTTTTTTTGTTTTTATTTAAACTAAAACACTCTACAGGAAGCTGTGGGGCAGTATCACCTATGTTGTCTGCCAAGACTGCACTCAACACTGACGAAGAATGCAGTGGAACAGCAAAACAGCATCATCTGTAAACTTTGGAAACTTGTTATTTTGGACTGGAAAACAAAATCTTTTTTTTTTATTTACTTTAAAGCTGAATTTTTGGTTCAAATACTACTAGAATTTAATTCATATTACTTAATATTTGTATTTATTTCATTTTTATTTGGACAGTCTTATTGAGTAAAATAGGACTAAATATTTAAGTATTGATGTTAAAAATACATTATTTTCAAATTCATGTCTCCTGGGTCATTGTTTTAATTTTCTGTGGGACGAGACGAGAGGGTGATACTCACAGGTGGGCAGACCTGAGCAGGTGAGGTACTAAAGCCTAGAACAGGAAGTCTTCCACAGGAAGCGGAGACAAGATTTATTGAAATAATCGTTGACTAATCAAAGACAAATTGAAACCTCTGGAGCATCAGAAAATCAAAAACACAACAAAGAGCCGGGGGACTGCTGAGCCTCTAGAATCCTCTATCAAACCTTTTTTGAGACCTGGTGCTGCCATCAATTTCAAAAAAAAGATTTATCATATTTTCCCTGACGAATCAAAAAGCTTCAACATGATAGGTATCATCAGATTTAGTTCACACATTGCGACATGTAATACAGTCAAACGATCATTGTCTGAATAGGTTTTCAAGCCAAAAGCAAAAACATTTGAACCAGCATGAATTTGTACATTTGTGTCAAACTTAGCTCCAAATATTTGACCTTTTCTAAAAACATGTTAAGACTACAGCTTCTCACCTGTGTGAGCTCTCAGCAGGAGGAAACAGCTGATGTTCAACATTTACGTGGCCAGTCAAATGAGGATTTCAACTTTCCCCACGCTTTGCAGGAATGCAGCTATTTACCTGAATGAATTTCTGTGTGTTTTTTAAGTGATGTTGAATTTGAAAACTTTTTACTGGAGGTGTTACCAACATGTGACCTCTCAACTGTGTGAGTTCTTATGTGGAAAGACAAACTTTATTGTGATAAAAACCTTTCCCGCATGTTTTGCAAGAGTACGGCTTCTCACCTGAGTGGAGCCACACATGTTGTTTAAGTGACGATGACCTGGGAAACCTTTTACCGCATGTTTGACAAGAGTACGGCTTCTCACCTGAGTGAAGTCGTGTGTGTTGTTTAAGTGACGATGACGTAGAAAACTGTTTACTACATGTTTGACAAGGATATGGTTTCTCGCCTGTGTGAGATCTCATGTGGATATTTAAATGATCTGTTGAAAGAAAACTCTTCCCACATGTTTCACAAGAGTACGGCTTCTCACCTGAGTGGAGCCGCACATGTTGTTTAAGTGACGATGACCTGGAAAACATTTTACCGCATGTTTGACAATGATACGGCTTCTCACCTGTGTGGAGCCTTGCGTGTTCTTTAAGTGACGATGACGTAGAAAACTGTTTACTACATGTTTGACAAGGATATGGTTTCTCGCCTGTGTGAGATCTCATGTGGATATTTAAATGATCTGTTGAAAGAAAACTCTTCCCACATGTTTCACAAGAATACGGCTTCTCACCTGTGTGAATTCTCATGTGGATGGTCAAATGACCAGTTTGACGAAACTTTTTCCCACATGTTTTACAGGAATATGGCTTCTCACCTGTGTGGATCTGTGTATGCCTTCTAAGTTCTGATGTCCTAGAAAACATTTTACCACAAGTCTTACAGAGATTTTTGCACGAACGAGAGCTTTCTGCAGTTTTACTTCTGTTTGGATTTCTCGTTGATCCTGGATCTGCACTCCTGCTTCTTCCCTGATCTTGGCTCTCAGCAAGAGGGGCGTTATTAGTGATGAGACGATCATTATCTGGTTCACTGTGCTCTCCTTCCTCAGCAGCAGTCACCATGAAGGTATCCGTCTCCTCCTTCAGTCCCAGCTGCTCTCCCTCCTGACTGCTGCACAGTTCCTCCTGCTCCTCTTTAATCTGTGGAGGTTCTGGTTCCTCCTGGTCACAGAGCTGCAGCTCAAGGAGAACCTCCTCCTCCTTACAGACAGGCTGCTGTGGGACGTCTGGAGGGGGAAAAAAGACAACTAATGAGATTATGAGAGACAGAGACAGAGACAGACAGAGAGAGACAGAGACAGAGAGAGACAGACAGAGAGAGACAGAGAGACAGAGAGACAGAGACAGAGACAGAGAGAGACAGAGAGAGAGAGAGTACATACAATACAAACATCACATTGGGGATGGTCAGGCTAGGTAGTGAGGAAAAAAAAAACAAAAAAACAACAGTGAAATGTGTAACACAAAAGGATAATACAGGAATATCAGCACACCATAACACAATAAAACACAGACAAGCAACATGGGAGAGTATTCCAGTGTGTACAGCTGATCTGGGACCGCAGCAATCTTCGCCTGCGCCTCCAGCTGATCCGTCCACATTGGATGGGAGGCGTTGGATTCAGGGGAAGGAGGGTGATAGTGAGGGCGCATCAGTATCAGTGTACATGTCTCGTGCGTGTGCATGTGTATCCCGTATTCAGCTGAGAGAAAGTGTCACCACGCCTGGTTAAGCAAAGGTCAACAGTCTCCAGTGGACGCAGCTGGCCTTGAAGGAGGGACAAAGAGTTCTGACAACAATCCTGTAATCATGGGAAGAATTTGTTGTTCCAGTCAGCTTCGACCTTGGCGCCAGTGGGATAGCTGCATGAGTGAAGATGGTGAATGTTTGGGTTTAGTGCGAACAACTGCATCCAATTTTTACAGTTGGTCTAATGTCCATCACTGGTCACCAATTATCTCAATTCCCGTTGTTCTTCTCCAAGATCTTATCAAAACACAGTCTGAGTACTCACAGCCCTGCCCATCGTCTATCATGTCAGCCAGCCTTATGGGATTTTGAACAGCAGTAGCAATAAAAAAAAAAAAAAAAAAAATGCGGCCTGAACCTGAATTGGGATACAGCCATTGTGTCTGTTTTATGCTGATGCACGAAGGCCCTGACACTGAGAGGGTGGATCTACCTGTACGTGACCAGGCTGCATCCTCAGTGCTCAAACATCTGAAGATGAAAACCTGTTTTATGTTTCCTACATCTAATCAAGCGCACGACACAAACACTCAGCAAGTACTGGTCTCTGTTTATGGATGGGCTAAAGAAAGGCAACGGAGTTGATGCCTTGTAACTAAGCAACAACCTATATGATGCACTTAGCAACGCTAAGTCACACTCCGAGTCTGAACAAACCAAGCTACTGAGAACACAGGACACAATCAGCAGAATGTCTGTGATGAAAATGACCATGAGCTGCCTGAAATGACACTGATGCGTTCATATTATTGGAGACCCACAGGAGGACTTCTATCGCTGTATCTGCATCTGCATCTTAATGCATTCATACATGAGGGTATTTTACATTACACTTTCTTTTAAAGCGATACTTTCACAGTTCTAACTTTATGCTGTTACTTACATAAAGAAAACTCAAATCCAGGCTGATTTCAGCGCCTGCTGTTTGAATGGAGCACGGTGCAGTCCTGTCAGTGAAGTTGCCCCCACCTGCTTCAAATCCAACAAAAGTGGTGTCAAACGTTTGTGCTGCTAAAATTGTCGTTTGTGCTGCCTCTGTTTTAAAGATATTAATGAAAATGCAAACGTCAAAAGGTCAGCCAGCCCCCCACATCACCCAAATCAAACAAAAGTTGATGTCACAGGTTGGTGCTACGTTTGTGCTGCAAATTTTTTGTTTGTGCCGCTTTCATTTTAAAGATATTAATAAAATTCCATCAATCCATCTATTCGCTTCCACTTATCCTTTTAAGGGTCGCAGGGGGCGCTGGAATCTATCCCAGCTGTCATAGGGCGAGAGGCGGGGTACATCCTGGACAGGTGGCCAGTCTGTCGCAGGGCCAACACACAGGGACAGACAACCAGTCGCACTCACATTCACACCTATGGGCAATTTGGATTAACCAATTAACCTATCACCACAAGCTGCATGTCTTTGGAGAGTACCCGGAGAGAACCCACGCAAACACGGGGAGAACATGCAAACTCCACACAGAAAGACCCTGGCCTGATCGTGGAATTGAACTCAGGACCTTCTTGCTGTGCAACAGTGCTAACCACCGTGCTGCCGTAATAATAACATCAAATAACATTTATGAAGAAATTTAAAGGGGCATGCCTGTAGGTGCGTATCAGTTTATAATTAGATAAGGTGTTTTGAGCCAATAAGCTGGTTGTGGATCACTGACTACCATGTTTCTTAACATTACCTTACTCCATCTAGTGTGCTACCAGCAGGGTATATGCTAAAATGCTAATGGTTGTTAAAACATTAAGCTAGAGCTGGGCGATATGAGATTTTTTCATATCACGATATGTTTTTTTCATTTCAGGCGATAACGATATCTATCACGATATCAGCCAAATAACTATATTTGTAAGATTTAAATGTGCCGTTGCTCACAAGTAAAATGTGAAATAATCAGCAGCTTGTTTTTATTTAAATATTTATTTCCCATAATAAGTTCAACAGGGTAGATGTACTTAAGGAACATGAGACTTTTTCAGATAAATAAAGGCAAATATTGCAAACTACACAAAAGGCAGCCACTAAAGCGCTTAAGTTTCAAAATAGAACAAACGAAACAGACCAAACTGTCAATTCCACTTAGAACCAAAATATTAATTCTAAAAATAAATCTTAGTTTGTTTTACAGAAGAACAGACAAAACTGACTAACTTTTGTCAATATCAAATAAACTGAGAACTAAAAGGAAATTCTCAATCTCTCCTTGTTGTATAGCTTAGCTTTTCAAACAGTTTTAACAGTTACTTTAGTCTGACAAAAGCCGAATGACAAATTAGCGCTTCCAGTCAGAGACTGAGGCTACGTCCACACGTACACGGGTATAAAACGGAGATTTTCCGTTTTCGTTTTAAAAAATAATCCCGTCCACACATAAAGGCAGAAATGAAGGAAAACGCTGCTATGAACATGCCAAAGCAGCAGGTGGCGCTAGATTCCTAACCGTGCAGAAATGTTGGCCAATCAGAAGTCTAGAAGCCTCGGTGGGAAAAAGTAAACAAAGCTGGGGCATAGAAGCAGAACCGAGTCGTATGTGTGGAGGGACAGTAACTGTGTGTATATGTAAGCATTTAAACACTGCAGAGAGTACAATTAACAGTATTGTAGAAATTCATTTCACCGAAACAATAACGTGGCGCACAGTGTGACGCATGCACCAGTTTATTGTATTTCCAGACTTGCTTTCGGCACAATTTACAGTGCACGCTACTCTGTTTTTTGCCAGACTTGAAATAGCAGAAATACCTTCACACTACGGAGCTTCTATGGCTCTTCCGTTCGACAATCTCTCCGGCATTGGAACCATCATCTGTTTTCTCTTCGGTCACGCTCGGTTGATTTTTCTAGTCGCACACTCATTTCCTCCATTACCCGCTGGCTGCTTCCCAAACAAACACACGTGCGGCTTGGCACTTGTGCTGTACGTAACAAGTCACGCGACGTGACGCTGCGGCTGTGATTGGTTCGGCTCTGCGCTACTTAATTTGGATTGGCTGACCTTTTTTTTTTTTTTTTTTTTTTTTTGTAAGAGGACAAGAGCGGCGAGGTCTATCGCGATAGCTTAATTTCTCTATCGAGTAAAAGTTATATCGCGATACATATCGTTATCGTTCTATCGCCCAGCTCTACGTTAACCTAATAATATGTGAACTGTAGCTTTTAATTCAAATGCTAATATTAACAAAAGTGCTGTCATTTGTATGTGGGTTGTCATGAGCAAGTTGTATAAAATTAACATACACAGGAGTGCACTTCAGTGATTCAGCAAATCTGAGCTCAACGGCTCCAAACAGCCTGCAGAACTGTGAATCTCAGGTAACTGTCAATGTTACCTGAAAGGGCCAAACTATATATTTTTGCAAGAGTCAAACTTCTGTAGCCATGGTCACAAAGGGCTATTAAATGAGTGGGCTATTAAACACGTGTGGCATTGACACAGATTTATCTCAGAGCCTGGATTTATCTACAAGTATTTTGATGATGAGCTATGAACATTGACTAAATTCATTTTTATGCCGATCAAATGAATTTTGAACTAGATCTTGTTAAGGATAAACTGGTACAACTCTGCCAAAAAAGCAAACATAGCGACCTGTGTTCGGTTTGTGATCACCAGGGGGCGCTATCACACACATTCTACGTCTGAGAAAAAAAAACAAGAGTTGAAGAAAACATGTGCTAGCTCTCTCATTTGCATTTTTAAGCTAGCTTCCATGAGCAACAGCAATCATCAACACTAGAGCAGGGCGATATGGCCAAAAATATTTATCACGATATATATTTGAAAATTTGCGATAACGATATAACTGACGATATAATTGATGCGAGACAAAATACAACTCCACAACATTACTAGCGCAAAAAGACAACCTTCCATTTATTTTCACTTAAACAAGAAGCTGGTTTTTATGTACATTAAAGCTTTATAAAAATGTAACAGTGCAAATGCAAATTCCTTGCTGAAAGTTTAACCAAAAGGCATTTCCAGTAGAAATGGGCTGACATATCCTGATAACCATGTATAATATCCACTGAAGTTAAAAAGAGGTGCTTTGCAATATTAAACTGCAGTGTGCAGTACGTATTTTTCGGACCATAAGGTGCACGGGATTATAAGGCACATTAAGCGAAACAAAGCAGTCAGATAAATCAAACTTTATTAAACTCATTCTTCTTGCTTCCTCCACTTCTGTACCATTGATTCATTAATGTTGAATTCTCTGGCAGCTGCTCTATTCCCATGTTGTTGCAGTATATTAATGACTAACCTCGTATTGTGGATGGATTATCTCAGTTGTTCTCCTGACTGAAGTTTGGTCCGTTTACAGCATCCTGCCAAGCGATTGCATTTGTCTCTAACCATGAGGAACCTTCACGTTAACTTTTATAGGTGGAAAAGTGTTAGTGTTTGTCCTCCAGCTTCACTGTTTATGTTATGCTAACATAGCTGTGTCGCTAGCGATCACGTAGCA